ACAGTGAATGGTATTGATATCAACATGGAGATTGATACGGGAGCATCGTTCTCGGTGATTAATGAGAAAACATTGCAAGAAATTAGTCGCGGTAAAGGAAATCTTGACTTAAAACAAACTGAAATTTCCTTACGTACCTACACTGGTGAGAAAATATCTCCGAAGGGAATTACTGAAGTGGTGGTCGAATACAATAACCCAGTTAGTCGGTTACCCTTATTGGTGCTGAAAGGCAATGGTCCTAATTTGATTGGTCGAAATTGGCTTGAAAACATTTGCTTAAATTGGACAAGCATCAAACGACTAGCCAAGCCTAACTTAGAAGAGGTTTTAAACAAGTACGACGACTTGTTTACAGACGAATTAGGCAAATTGAATGGCGTGACTGCCAAGATTTACGTCGACCCGTCAACGAAACCGATTTTTGTAAAGCTCAGTCGGTACCATACACGATAAAACCTAAGATTGAAAAGGAACTCGAAACGCTCGAAAGACAAGGAACAATTGAAACCGTACAGTATTCAGATTGGGCAACGCCAGTGGTACCAATCATGAAACCTGACGGAAGTGTTCGATTGTGCGGGGACTACAAAAGGACTGTGAACAAAGTTTCCCGTTTAGATGCCTACCCTTTACCTAAGATCGAAGAAGTTCACAATAAACTGGCAGGAGGGAAAACATTCACTGAGCTCGATTTAAGCCACGCTTACGAACAGATGGTCCTGGACGACGCCTCGAAGGACGTGGTAACGACAAACACGCATCGTGGTTTGTACCGGTACAACCGTCTGCCATATGGTGTATCATCTGCGCCTGGAATTTTCCAAAGAACGATGGAAAGTTTACTCAACGGAATTCCATACACTGGCAGTCTGGCATCCTCCTTGATAACATTTTGATTTCTGGACCGACGGATGAAGAACACCTTCAGAACCTGGAAGAAGTGATGAAGCGTCTTTCTGAAGCTGGGTTACGTCTAAAGAAGTCGAAGTGTCGCTTTATGCAACCTACCCTCGAGTGTTTGGGTTACCGTAACGACGAAACTGGTATTTATCCAGTTGAAGCCAAGGTGAAAGCAGTTCAAGAAGCACCTACACCTACCAATGTTACCGAGTTGAAAGCATACTTGGGATTGCTCAATTTCTATGGTAAATTCTTACCAAATCTGTCAACTGAGTTAGAGCCACTGTACCAGCTACTTCGTAAGAATCAGAGATGGAAATGGAACACAGAACAAATTCGTGCATTTGAACGATCTAAGACTTTGTTACAATCTGCAGCAGTGTTAGTCCATTATGACCCACACAAGAAATTAACCGTATCCTGTGATGCTTCACCCTATGGTGTTGGAGCGGTTTTATCTCATGAGATGCCAGATGGGAGTGAACGACCGATTGCTTTTGCATCGCGAACATTGACATCTGCCGAAAAGAAGTATTCTCAGCTGGATAAAGAAGGATTGGCTATGGTATTTGCGGTCAAGAAATTCCACCAATTTCTATATGGCCGACATTACACTATTTACACTGATCACAAGCCATTACTTGGAATTTTCAAATGTGAGAAACCCGTACCATTAATGGCATCCGGCCGAATTCAACGATGGGCTTTGACTTTAGCAGCGTACGAGTATGACCTGATATATCGTCCTGGTAAAGAAAACGGAAATGCAGATGCTCTTAGCAGACTACCTTTGAAAATTGAGCCCAAGTCTACACCAATACCACAAGAAGTAGTAAATTTGGTGGACCACCTCAATCAAAGTCCAGTGGATGCTTTGAAGATCAAACAGTGGACCTTGCGAGACCCCGTACTATCACGAGTACTTAAGTTTACACTTCAAGGGTGGCCATCGCAAGTGAATGATGAGAACATTAAGCCTTACCTCACACGAAAAGACGAGATTAGTGTTCAAGATGGATGTCTGTTATGGGGATCGCGGGTAGTGGTTCCTCCCAAAGGAAGAACGGACGTCCTGAATCTTTTACACGATACTCATCCGGGAATGTCACGAATGAAAAGTTTAGCTCGTGGACATGTTTGGCGGCCAGGAATCGATAAAGAAATAGAAGAAAAGGCAAAGAAATGTTCAACATGTCAAGTACACCAGAGGACACCCCAAAGAGTACCTTTACATCCCTGGGAATGGCCACATCGACCATGGTCCCGTATCCATATCGATTATGCAGGCCCTTTTATGGGCAAGATGTTTTTACTGATAATCGATGCTCACTCGAAATGGTTGGATATTCACATAACCAACTCGTGCAATACTCAGTCAACGGTCGAGAAACTCCGCATCACATTTGCAAATCATGGATTACCGGAGATGGTAGTTTCTGATAATGGTCCAGCTTTCGTGAGCAAGAAATTCGAGGAATTCATGAAAAATAATGGAATTCGACATGTAAAATCTGCCCCTTATCATCCTTCAACGAATGGCTTAGTCGAAAGAGCTGTGCAAACGTTCAAGAAAGCGATGAAGAAGCAGAGTGGAACTTTGCAAACTCGTTTATCTCGATTCCTATTTAAGTATAGAACCACACCGCATACCACTACAGGTATATCGCCCGCGGAATTAAGATGGGGAACCAAGTTACGATCACACTTGACATTATTACAGCCAGATGTTGGGAAAACTGTACGTTATGCTCAACATAAGCAGAAGAGACATTGTGATGAACACGTAAGACAGCGTTCAGTCTCCATTGGTGACGATGTTTTCGTGAGAAATTATTCAAACCCGAAGTTTCCATGGACTGCTGGAAAAGTCGTTGAGTCTACGGGCCCAATTTCTGCGAAAGTTGCATTAGATGATGGAAAAATGGTACGACGTCATCAGGACCAAATAAGTTCCTCGAGCACTAAAGATTCGAGTATTATTGCTCCCGAAGAAATTCAAGAAAGTAATACTTCCACAGAGGAAACTCAAGCTCCTGAAACTCAAGCTCCTGAAACTCAAGCTCCTGAAACTCAAGCTCCTGAAACTCAAGCTCCTGAAACTCAAACTCGACGTTATCCGACGAGAGAAAGGAGAAGACCCAAGAAACTAGACGATTATGAACTTTGACATTCTAAGTTAATATTCAAGACGATTATTTAATTAGATTATTTATTGACACATTTTTAAGAAACGTAAGTTTAGAAAACGGACAAAAAAAAAAAAACTTAGGGGGAAGATATGTAGTAGAGTCAAGATTGTGTAATATATGTTAATCAGTTGTCCTAATTAGTCATTGTAATATATTCATAACAGTTTGTATAAATAGCATACGTATGTCAATAAAGTGCTGATTAAACTACCCGAGACTGAGTATATTATAAAACGTAGTGCGAGTGATTTGTCAACAATACGTGCTGCGAGCGATTTGTCAACAATACAATTTCGCTTGATTTCCAAAGGCCATAAATCGATAGAATACTGGTGTTTAGTAATACACTTGACATCCGTAAGTACGATTTCTTACGCTGAATCGAACGGTGTCGCTTTCTTCTCGAAATATAAACTTGTAACTTGCGATTTGCGAAGGTTGCTGTTTCCATGTCGAAATTCCTTGTAAAATTGTTCAATTTTCCCGAATTTTCCTCAAAATGCAGGGTTATTTATGGTAATTTGGATAAAATTGGCAGGAGCCTTATGGATAACTGGGGATTAGGCAGCTCATTAATAGGTGCCCCAGCGAGTAATAACAAATTTATAAGATAAACATTCAGTTCTTCGTGTTGTTTAGACAAGCATGCAATCCTTCGTGTTGTTTAGGCCAGTCCGATTGTAATCTTCCACCTTTACAGTTTATCTTTGACTTTCTATTCAAATTATTTCTATTACTGATGATTCACTGACTAACAGGTACTAGTTAAAACATGATCAGCCGATCTTTATCTGATATATATGTCTTCTGATTAATTTATCGATCTTTATCTGATGTTTTAACGTACTTAAAAAAGACCCATCTTATTAGTTCATTGGCGAAGTAATTTTAAAAATAAACACTGTCTAAGCCGAGAAAATCAAAGCTGAAGTTAATGTAAATCAGGACAAATCTTTATCCGATTTACAAACATTGATTAAACATTAATTTCTTTTGAATTTTCTTCATGAAAAATTGATGAGTATTTTAAAATCATTTCAAACACTCATTAATAATTCATAAGCTTATTGGCAAATCATGTCAATCATAATATGTCACGTGCAGTGGCTTTAAACCTGATAAAACACTCCTAATTAGTATTCTTTATATAAAGAATATAGGCAAGTAACTTTGTGGAAAGCTATAATTTGGCGCTAATATACTCGGGTTCATTTGAACAACACCGTTTGACGCGACTTTACAAGACTGGCAAATGAATACTGACGATAACACCTTGAAGGAGTTTTGCTTGTTAATATTCTCACAACGGTAGTGTGGAATCATATATTGAACACTATTACTGTGTTTCACTAACCGATTGACTCTTAGAAAATTCTTCAAGTATTTTATACGCCATGTTATAATCTTTGATCAGATGATGAGAAATGGCGTAACCAATCCACGATTGTCGTTGTCCAGCTCTTAATTTTAGCAACTGATACCTCGTTTCCTTTCAGAAAAAAAATGAATGCAACATTCAATATTAGACTTGTCATACAATAAGTTCTTTGTAACAAGTTTCTTGTAGTTGTGTATGGCAAATAATATCAGTTTTGGTTTGTGGAAACACCACAGGTAACAATAAATTTACGTTATTTTTACCGCAAACAACAAATTTACGTTACAAACATTACTTACTAAACGATGGGAGTTCAGGAGTTGTAATACAGTACAAATTGTTTAAAAAATATTTTCGTGTTTTTTTTGTCATACTTGTTTTGTTATGATATATTCACACTATTCACCTTTACTTAACTTTACTGATCGAAAGCTTTGCATTAATAAATATATACGTCGAGTTTTCACAAACCACAACTTATAATAAATAATATGTGAAGCTAATTAGTGTACTTGTTCACGATAAATAAATTGTATTATATGTATTAAACTGCTGTCAACAAGAAAATTACCGCACGAGAAAGCAGAAAACTACAGGGGCCGGTTGTATAAAACTCTTAATCACTTTTTGTATCTGCGAAGCAGATATATTGCTATCGCAAACGTGACCGTACAGTTACCGTATGTTAGCACATAGCCATTCAGCGACGAGCTTATATAATTGAGCCAATTTAAACCAATCAGCGATTAGCTTACATCAATTGTTTATATCGTGCCCGCATCTAACCTGCGAACGGGCATCGTTTGTGTTGTGTATCATTGTGTTGTGTATCATATATTTTACATAACAATCATTGTGTTGTGTATCATATATTTTAATCGTCATGGATATTCGTCCGACATTTCTATTTCCATAATCACTAAACTCGTTAAATATAAAACCGCGTAAATTTAATTGAATTTCAAGCGAATCCTCCGTAGTGTTGTGGTTTAGGCACACGTATTGCGTATTTTAATTAAACAGTCAAAACATAGCACTGATAGCAAATTAGCAGGCAATATATTTGCCAATGAACAATGTCACAGGACTCCTGTATTTCTGTAACTCTGTGTTCAAAACAACAGTCCAACTAAGCTGTCATTATTTTGCTTTCTAACATAAATGTTTTTGTTTTAACAGACATTGTCTCAGATTGATACAAGAATGATAAATAAATGTACTGGATATTGGCTGGATAATTTTGTCAGAACAACGGCCACTTGCAAGACAATCTTACCTAAATTCATTGGTATGGAAAATAACTTAACAGCTACAATAATTATATATATTTATATGGATGGATCAGATCAATGGCACACAATGTACAAACTAAACTTGTGATATATACCTTCTACTCACACCGATATTCGCCCAAAACACAAATGGTTTTTGGGTGGATATGCTGTGTTAAATCGAACAGTTGTCAGTGTGGTTATATCATTAACTGTGCACAGGATTGGAATTGAATTATATACTTCACTCATGACCTTCAAAAAATTCTCTACTATTCAGTGATCTTTGATATATGAATGACTCATTGCTACAGTTTATATGCATGTTCCTCGAATAGTTTGTGTATGTTAGTTTGTTACTCGACAGCTAGTTAACATTGGCAAGTGTAAACAACAAGTGACGGAAGTCACGTTACCTTTGCTTCATATGATTACAATAAAGTTTTGAAAATTCGATGAGTATGGATTGACAAGTGACAGTTTACTAAATAGCCTGCTGCTGGCTGTATAGACACTTCGAATATTGTTTGCATGAAATTTTTATTTCCTGACTACATAATTATCCGTTACAATCATAATCACATTATAAAATTAGTAAAATTTTCTCAGCGGCGGGGGGTACAGTTGCCTCTGTTGCCCTCTGCACTGTGTACAGCCCTGTTATAGATGTGTATTATGTTTGACTTTAAAATCTTATTTGCTATTATATTATAATAAGTGATGAAATATTTCAATTGTGCCATGTCATCTTCATTATTCAGTTCCTTTCAAGAAAATACAAAATGTCAATCAAGTTTTTTCGCACATACATGTACGCGTCGCGTACCTATTTTTTAATCACTATTTTGTAGTTAAATAGTGATTAACTCTCAAATACGCGCTTTTTATTGGATGACGTTTGCACTTAATCATAGTTAACTTTAATCACTTTTTTATACAACTGGCCCCAGGAAGTTATTAGCTTTTCGAGTGCGAGTTTGTTGTCATTTAGAGGCACTGGGATATAGTTTTAAAATACAATAAAGCAAATTCTTCAAGATTTTAACTTGTACAAGGCTCTTTGTCTTCCTAGTTATAGCTCTTTTTACACACACTCCCCAGTACGTAGAGGTAGTTTCACAGGAATCTGTTGTTCAGACCTTCTCGTGAAATGGATTTTTACTGTATGAAAAAATTTCGACCTGGATTTTCCACCCATTGTTTGGAAATACAGAGTGTCCCTGATAGTATAGACTCCACTGAATCATTTAACATGTTACTTAATGTAAGCATGTAATGATTAATGTAATAAAAGATAGGACACATTTCATTTCATCATCTCATTTCATGACATGTATATAATTATCAAGTTAAATTGAAGAGCTAAAATAACTGAAAGTATTTTTAATCAACAAACCCTATATCCTTCCAGGTCTCTCATCTGAACTTGAAGAAGTGACAAATCTCGAAGTATCTGAAGATTTTCCTGAAATTTGTATTTAGAAATTGTCAATTTAACAAGGTTTTACATGCATACATAAATAAAACTTGTTTACCCTCGAGTTTACAGAGTATATGGTATGATGAAGGCTAATACTGTATACGTTTGAGAAAACATTACAAACATAAAATAAAATATAATTATACAAAACATATTTTGCAAAATCTGTAACGATGGGCACCAAATTGTGAGGAGGCCTCCCATGACGAACAGGAGCCACAGTAAGGCAACTCCCTAGAGCCTAATGACGTACTAACTACATATACCTTACTCAATGCCATTAGTAAATTCAAGACTGCCTTTATTAAAATACCTTCGACCTGTTAAAGCAACCCCTCCTAACCAGAGGCACCTAACCCATCAACCCCTTGCCGTGACTGAGGGGGGGGGGACTCCTCACAGAGGCACAACCTACCTTTCTAAGGGGATTACTTAAATATATTAAATTATTGTCTTATATACGGTTGTGGTGCACACTTAATTAGACGCAACTTTAAAATGAACACCTATATGATGATATACATCATAGATTTGCCTCTAGTACACACCTTATCAAACTTCAAGGCATTTCTATAACACTTGATAGCTTCTTCATACTTTCTGTATGCTCTTTGCACCAAGCCATAAACATGCCAACCTTTTATAAAGTTAAAGAACTTTCCACTACCTTTTACACTGTTTATCATCATCAATAAATCCTTGTATTTTTAATAAAATCATTGTGGACAAACAAAATTGCTGTTAATATTTTAGAGTTCAGCGTCATTTTCATAGGGGTTTTGGCCATGTAATGACCACTTGAAGATGCATGATATTATCAAATCATTAATGGATTATTTGAAACTTGAAAATATTCTGCATAATTGGCAATTATCAGGATTTGCAAATTAATTAATTTCCTTAAAATATTTGATGAAAATTTAAAAGAAATGGATCATACCGGAAACATCCACATCTCCCCAGAGGAAATTGGAAGAAAACTCCCCTACCACCTTTGGACATCCTAGTACATTTTACTATTATCAGAAGGATAGACTTCTGCATCCCCTGGATGACAAAAATTTCCTCCATATGGAGTCAGGGATTGAATCTTCCAAGAAAAGTGCAATTTTAATTAAGATATCATATTATTGTACTGTAAGTTTTAATATCCTTAACACTAAACTATATTTCTTCTACACAAATTAGTGGAAGTTTCGATGTAGAACTTTGTGTAGTAAGTGTCATACATTGCAAACAAAGTGTTGTTCATAAATATACATGCCATTAGTTATATATCAGTCCTATATTGTTATTTTCATGTATTCTTGTGTATAAATTGTTGTTCTAGATAATGTAAACGTTTGGTGGGACAAAATTAGGAACTTACGTTCTTGTTGTCTTTATAGTATATACCAGCAATCTTATGATTGTAATGAAAATATATACAACCTGGGTGACCCATATTTTCCTGCATGCTCCTCCGCCTGTATGATTTTCTGACAAAGAATGCCCTAACAAATTCTCACAACTACAGTAGCTTAAATTATGGATTTTGGTGGAAATGGCGAGGAAGGTAGAAAAAAAATTTAGGGAAGGTAGAAAAAAAATTTAGGGAAGGTGATCAGTCCAGCTCACAGCCCCCATGGTATGTTAGTGCTCAGAATCTACCCCCCTAAGTCAACTACATGACATATGCATGTACTGCACATATGTATCAGTGTATTTATGAATTATGACTCATGACTGTACAACTCGTTATTTTTCTCTCTTTCATTACATTATTTGACACAGAGATCAATGGCTACACTGGAGGTGCAAAACACTCTCAGGAGAGGTGCACAACTCTCTCAAAATGCGGCCATGAATGGTCAAACAAAGATTAGAGTTGATGTTTGGCCGACTCTCACTGATGAGAGTTAATTGATGAGACTTAATTGACTAGAGGTTTTGGTTGTTTTACCAGTAATATCCAATCAAACTCTCACAAAACATGTTTGACCGGGGCACGACAGTTGAGAAAATTCCCATGCAAACTCTTGCTTCTCAACTCTCATCATCGCCTGACCGACACTTGAGATAAAGGATACAGACATGACTAGTTAAATCATTTCTTAAACCCTTTTTAACAAATTCAAATGCCTCTTCTTTTCTTCCCAAACAATTTAATATCAGTCCCTTCATTGCTAGAGTTTCTAAATAGAAATATGAACTCAATTAAACAATGTACGAAGCAATGAGCAATATTCACTATGTTGCTTGATGGGATCAATAGACTGTTTATTGCATTCTTGCCTCATTCCAGAAAACATCCATACAACTCCCACAACGGAAATTGGCAGTTAACTCAGATGTCCTAATACACTTTTCCTCCCTTCCCCTTTTAAGCACCAGAAATTTCCTTCATGGGGGAGTATGGATGTTTTCTAGAACGACCCAATGACTTAGTTTTCATGTGGTGATCTCCCTCACTTTTTGTGCACATAGGGTTAACCCATTGAGCCGCAAAGTGCCCCAGTGCGCCAGGGGCGGCGGAATAGGGGGGCTAGGGGGCTAAAGCTCCCCCCATAAGTAAAAGTGGGGGGCTTAGCCCCCCAGAAAATTTGTTTTTTTCTGGAAAAATTTTGATAAGTAAGGAAAATTTTGGGTATTTTTTGAAAATTTAGGTATAAGGGGAAAAATTTCCAATATTTTGTTTAAAAATTTGTGTATGTCCGGAACTTTGGGTGATATTTCGCCAATTCCCCCTCGCTCCGGGTCTATAAATTATAAATACTGTAATGTAATTATTGTCATTCTTCTGAGATGTTGGAATCCCAGTCGTTGCATTAATAAATATCTGTCCAATAATAAGCCCATGGGTTTATACACGGAGCAGCCTGCAAACAGGGGTTTATTCAGGTGGGCCTAGTAATAATAAAAGTCTGCTGGCATTGCCTTATAATTCTGACAAACGCCCCTTTGAGTCATGCCCACCTGTCAAAAACTCAAAATCACAGAATAGTGCTCAAACTATCAACGAGCTTCCGTGTCCTTAAGCCTGCCGCACACGAGAGCAACTTGCTGAACTAACCGCCTCGAGTGGCAGCTAGCTCAGCTATGTATTTTCACCGCACACGTTGGGAAAACTACTCAACAACGACATAATTAACAAAACTATTTGCATTTTCCTCCATTGTGTTCTATGTCACACGAAGAAACTATGGTTTCTCTTTGGCTAATTGATTCAAACAGCTCAGCACTTAGCTCACAATATCCACAGACGCTGAGATTTTTTCCTCGCGAGGTGAAAAATATCAAACACGATAGAGATTTCCTCAAGGCCTCGAGAGGTCAAATCCTCACGAAAACTATCCGCACACGAGAGCTACTTGCTGAGCTAACCGCCTACCGCCTCGCGAGGCGGTTAGCTCAGCAAGTTGCTCTCGTGTGCGGTGGGCTTTACGCGGAACTGGCTGGATTTCTTTTCATTCTTGAGATACCCAAATATATTGAAGAGTCATCTCGTTTATCAAAATAAAAAGCAATGAATGAGAAAGATTTCTGTATCGAAATTAGAACATTAATGCATCCAGTCAGTCAAAATCATTGAGTAAAATATTGCTGTTTCGAACTGTTTGCAGACTAATCAAATTGGCTTGAAACACTGTCATGTTGTTAAAAGCAAAACGTTTAATATCGTTGCCAACAGAAACGTATTTGATAATCGATATACGTTTAATATTATAATCGATAATACCGATATATCGATATTTTTTCGCAATTGTATTTTGCTTAATTTTATGCAACATTTGCTTTAATTTTATGCAAAAGTTTCTGTTTTCAAATGATGCCAAACAGCCATGATATACAGTAACACTCAGCTTTGACTCGTCGGGTGTGTGATATTTTCAATAAAGTGTGAGGCCAGTGATCAACAGCCTGTGAAATGTCCACTTTAAGAATTGAAAATACATATAAAATATTACTTATTAGCATTGATTATTTACCACACTGCATGAATCATGCATGTGTGATATTTTTGAACGGGAAATTGTTTCAAAACATTTTGATTTTGAAAATCATTTGTCCTTCTGAAATAACTCCAATCAGTGCTTGAAAAAGCTTGATATGACGTTTAATTAAATATACAAACGTAAACGTGATATCGATAATACCGAAAAATATCGATATTCCGATATATCAAAAATTTCAATATCGAGTAATCGGTATTTATAAAAAAACGATAATTATCGGTATATCGGTATACCGCAACAACCTACTAGCAGCTTAACTGAACCTGAAAATCTCACACATAGTACATCCAAAATATTTCCCCCATTAAATTGGCCCAAAACATTAAATGTTTTTCTTGTTCGCATTTATTCGACTACAGTATATTCATCTATAAATCAACATCAACAAAGTTTTGCTAATTTTTGCTGACCTCAGTAATGGGCTCTGCTCTTTATCTTTAAACTAATATTTCCACCTGGTGTATCAATTGCCACAGACCTCCTACTTAATTTCAATCATATGTTCCCATGTAACCATAATTCTCCAATCAGAAAGCTTCGTTCGTGGGCGAACAAAGTCTCCCAAAATTATAAGGCATGCCAGCAGGCATTTATTATTACTAGGCCCACCTGAATAAATGCATGTTCGCAGGCTATACATGGAGAGGCTAACATTTGGGGGTGGGCTTATATTATATTTAGAATAGCTGGAGCGTTAGTGAATATGGTGGGCTTATAAATGGGGGCTTATACTCAAAGGTTACGGTATCCCAGGTCAATAATAACAATTATTTAAAGAATGAGGCAGTTTTATACTGCACTAACTTATGGGGGGAGGTTGTATACTAAAAATTGATCTAGTTAAGGTGGCTTGATACAGTTTTCAAAACTTAAGGTGCATAATGGTTTGAAAGTTAAACGTGCAGCAGATATCAGGATGTTCATCTATTTATGTTTCTTCTTTCAATTTATGTCAGTTTTGGTGACACATACTGCGGATTCAGGTAGACCGTTTAATGCGAATAGTTGTCGCGTTAGTTTTAACAGTTGTATGATGACGTTTCTAGGCAGATTTTCGACGTTTCTAAGGCGTGGC